CTCTTGAGTTCCAAACATTCTCCCTTCACATGTAGAACAAAGTAATCTTCCCTTTTCACTATGAAGAACTGAAATAGCAACAGTCTTCGGAAATAATCTTCAAGATATGATCTTCAAAGAACTTCTTCAGATAACATTATTATTCTTCCCCGAAAACAAAATTCAACAAAAATATATATGACATTTTCCCCACTAGAAATCTCTTCCAGTAATCTTATGTTAAGATGAGATCTTCACATTCAACTCCCCCTCGAACAATGTAGCACAGAATAATCAGCAGTCAGAAACTACCACATTCACTCCTTGAACATTTTGCAAACTCCCGATCTTCAGAATTGACGTAGAAATTATCATTCATTATATTATGCCATTTAAAAATTCAAGATTGATCAAATAATGAATCTATGCAGTACACGACGTTGATCAAAGAAATACTACTCAAAAATATCTCAAAAATCTCACACGATTAAAAAAATTACACACTTCGCAAATTTCCGAAATTCAAACACAATTAACAGATCAAGAGAATTAAAATCAAACAATTCTGCTCAAAGTGGTGGCCGGAGATTAATGCATCAGGTCAATGTGGTGTCAGAATTTACACAAACAACAAATACCCAAGTAACAAATCCGGACGGAGAGGTGAATGATTTAAGCTAAGCTCGCTCAAAATGGAAATATGTGGAATTTGAACATGCAAGTGACCGAAGTAGACTAAATTCGGATAAGACTGTATGCGAGAAAGACTTAATCTGGACAAGAGGTCAAATGAAATAGATGAAGCTCGCTCAAGGAGTTGAGCGGATTAAATGAAGCTCGGACAGTTGGTCAATCCAGATAAGCCAATGTCCGTGAAAGGTTCAAATCGGACAGGCTAGTTTACGAGATAACTTGGAATTATAGTCAATCAGGATGAGCCTTTGAGCGAGGAGATGGAGCTCGGACAAAGAGGTATGCGGATTAGATGAAGCTCGGATGAAATGATTGAGCAAGGCTAAATTCGGATAAGCTTATATCCAAGGAAGGTTGAGTCTAGATGAGGAGTTGTCCGAGGAAAGTGATCTCCGGTTGTCGCTATAAGCGAGGAGGATGGAGCTCAGACAAGACATTGTCCGAGGAAGGCTCTATACGGATAGGTTGTTGACCGAGAATGTTAAGTCCAGATGAGCTATTGAGCGATTAAGGCACAAATCGGATGAGTCTATGGCCAAGAAAAAACTAAGTCCGGATGATGCTTCATGCGATTTAGACTTGGAACAAATTTGGAACAAAGGTCAAACCGGACAGGTTGTTATGCGGAATTGGCTGAACCTCGGACAGTATGGTGTCCGATTAGGTGATCTATGGATGAGAAAGTGACCAAATTAAACAATTAACAATGAAAGGAGCCAACCTTGACCACAAAATTCACAAACTTAAATTGCTACCAACCTTGATTACAAATCACAAAAACATGCAGCTGTCGTGCAATGTAGACTAAATCTGCTCAAGAAGTTGTGCGGATTAGGTGAAAATACGGATGAGCTGTTGAGCGATTTCACACTTAAAAAATTGAATGACCAGCCGCCTACCTTGACTTCAACATTTACAATACTCAAACTCACAATCACAAAGTAACAATTCGAATAAAATGGTGAACAGTTTAAGTGTAATACGAATGAACTATGTGCGATTTACTTGAAGTCTAGAACACCAAAATTGACTAAATCAAAACAAAAACAGGAATTTTCATGAAGTTTCATCTAAAAATATGTAACATCCCATGTCCCCGTGGTCCGGAACGGGCGGTGTCACTAACGTGACTTAATTCTAAGACACAAACATTGCAGAGCTACAAATAAACTCCAAACATAGATTAACTTCTAAAACATGCTTTACAATCCAAAATATTACATTCTATCAACTATTTATAAGTTTAGAATATTATACATCTACCAACGAGTTTACCGACTCCAAAAAAAATCAAACGCTCGATCTCAAATCCCGTCCCTTATCAGAATCACTTGGAACCTGCCGTGTCAGAAAACAAGAACACGGCTGAGCACGGGGCTCAGTGAACAGATTGTAATATAAACTAGAAATAATAATACGTAACATCGATAATAAAGCGGAAGACTTAAAAATCAATTAAACTGAATTCATAGAAATCAAGACGTTTCACAGTTCTCATTTCAAAACATCATTTAAACACAATTCGTCAATTCCTGTAGTGTTCGTGGGGTGGCCAAACCACACGAACTATCGGGCCGGCGTGNTCCCGTCCCTTATCAGAATCACTTGGAACCTGCCGTGTCAGAAAACAAGAACACGGCTGAGCACGGGGCTCAGTGAACAGATTGTAATATAAACTTGAAATAATAATACGTAACATCGATAATCAAGCGGAAGACTTAAAAATCAATTAAACTGAATTCATAGAAATCAAGACGTTTCACAGTTTTTATTTCAAAACATCATTTAAACACAATTCGTCAATTCCGGTAGTGTTCGTGGGCTGGCCAAACCACACGAACTATGGGGCCGGCGTGCGGGCACACACCCCGAGTCCCCCGTGAATTTAACCACGGTCACATGGTGGGTAATCCTAGGATCGATTCATCCGTCCTGGAGCCAATAAAATCGGCCTAGTCCACAAGGTGGGTTCACATAAGCCACTATTGGGCCTAACCATGTGGATCGAGTTCACCTGCAGGATGACATGACTAAAAAGTCGCCATAGAAGGCATCCCAAATAATGCGCCCATTAATTGGGTTGTTCTGAAAACCAATAAAACTAAACATGTGTCACTACCCGGATGGCATTCATAAAAAGTCAATCTTCAAAATACTTCATAAAACTCGAAACTACTTCAAAATATGAGAATCAATTCAACAAACTTGAAAGATTCAAACATACAATTCAACGAACTAAAATCAAGTGTTCACGATAAAGATTCAAGAGTTTACGATAAGAGTTCAAGAGTTTATATAGATATATATATATATATATAAGTACGTAATTTATTGACCACTTTTAAGCGATCAATCACAAAGTGGTGAACAACCGTTATGAAGAGTCAACTACAACAACTAGTTGCCCAAGAGTCAAAGAAAGTGAAATCCGTACCTTAAGCGGAATAGAGAAGTAAAGCACGATCAAACGAGATTCACGGTAAAATTCGACTTGCTCGCGTGCCTAACGAATGCACAAATCGATTATTACTTAAACAACGTAAGATMRTATCTTAATTCTACTAATAAACTACTTAGGTCTTACATGTTTATAAACAACTTAAACTTCAAATACGACAGCCGAATATGTATTACGAAATCGACGCAACACTTAGCTTTATATAATTCCGTTTCGACTTTTAATARCTTTTGACCCTCATTTTCGGGAGCATCTTTACCCCACTTAGAGACCAATACAGAAGATACTATTTAAACGAAAGATGTAGTATGATATGCGATGAAACTACTGGTTCTCAAMTCAYCTCATTTGGATTATCCATCTATTTTATACGAATATTACAAAACAGCAGATCAATCCTAAATACATTRCAAACAGCCCCGAAAACACACTKTTTTGGGCCACTTAGAWTCATAACTGGATTTTCGACCCTACATGAAAGTTKTAGTATASATTWAGGGCTTTCTAAMTGCAAAATATGAGCTTATTCYGACTTACRGTTTGTAAGTTATACAYTRCCAAAGTACGGACCTGCATAGTCGATAAAATYCGATTCCGCAATTCCCGACTAAYTTTAATAATCCAACTTTCATGATTMGCTACATTTACGTGCTATWAACATACTTCAACATACTAAAYAGTAAAACAAGTCCAATRGTYGTTAACCTAAGCTTAATCATGCAATTTTACCMTTTTCGRCATTATATCGAACAATTGATGTGCCGTTAAACATATACACCAAATCTAACCATATGAAACCATAATCTACCCTTTTAATTTCTACATCAATTTTATCAATCCTAGCATTCTAAACATGAAATATATCATACTTATAACAATATCAATCCGTAAATTTAGACATAACATCATTTATAAACCGGTCTAAAAAAATGCTAACGTAAACACCCTAATAAAAGTGAATAAAATTTATACCTTTATGAAGGGTTCGAAGAGTGGATTCCGAATATATAATCCTTACTTCGATTGCTTTAACGATTTGAGAAATATTTTAGAGAGAAGAAAATAATGAAAGAGAGAGAGAGAGGCGGTGAGATGAACAAGAAGAAGCCGACGTTGGATTTGCTTTTTTTTCCTTCATATAATATATATATATATAAATATATATATTTATTTATATATATAATTATTAATAGTTTAGAAGCTTGACGGTTTTAACCCCTTAATAATTACCGACCGTTATGTATGTACGGTACAATTTGGGTAAGTTAGCGAGAATATTTTTAAAACTCGAGTCTTACAATTCCCCCCCCCCCCCTTAAAAGGAGATTTCGTCCCCGAAATCGAATTTAGAGATAGGAAAGTTACATCAGTTTGCGGAGTAAATGTTGTACTAAAATTCAAACGTGTGTCCCACGCTTTATGTAAACCTACCCAAAATCGAGATATAAAATGTGGGTCTCGATCGGAGGTAATCGATATAAGTGTGCCATGAAGACGTACACTCTCACGTTGGAAAATTTCGGTCAACTTATCAATTGACCAAGTTTGTCGAACAGGAAGAAAATAAGCCGATTTTGTCAGTCGGTCTACCACTACCCAGATTGCATCGTGTTTCAAGATCGTACGGGGTAATCCAACTACAAAATCCATAGTTATGTGCTCCCATTTCCATACTGGAATGTTCAACGATTGGAGAACACCACCCGGACGTTGATGTTCAATTTTAACTTGTTGACAAGTGAGACAACAGCTACTAAGTCGGCGATATCTCGCTTCATTCCAATCCACCGGAAATGGTTCCTCAAATCGCGATATATTTTTGTTGTGCTAGTTTGAACCGAAAACATAGAGTTATGAGCTTCGGTCAKAATTAGATCTCTAACTCCGAGTTATTCGGAACACAAAGACGATCCCGAAACCACAACACGTGATCATCATCAATTCTGAACTCTGAACTAGAATTCTCTTGTGCCTGCTGGAAATTTGCCCATAATTCACTATCTTGTTGGGCTTCTTTGATCCGAGAGATTAGAGTCGGTTCTACCATTAGATTTGACAGAATTTCCGTTTGCGAACTCGGATAGATTTCTAGTTCAAACCGTTCGATTTCCAAAGCCAACTCTGTAGAAACAATTAAAGAAGAAACTTGTTCCATAGATTTACGGCTTAAAGCGTCGGCAACTACATTAGCTTTGCCCGAATGATACTGTATCCGAACATCGTAATCTTTCAGAAGTTCGAGTCACCTTCGTTGACGCATATTTAACTCTTTTTGAGTAAAGATGTATTTGAGGCTTTTATGGTCAGTGAAAACTTCACAGGTCTCACCGTACAAATAGTGACGTCAGATCTTGAGTGCAAAGATCACTGCAGCCAATTCGAGATCATAAGTCGGATAATTGACCTCATAAGGCTTTAATTGATGAGAAGCATATGCGATCACTTTTCCGTGTTGCATAAGAACACAACCGAGACCTTTCTTTGAAGCATCACTATAAACTTGAAACCCACCAGTGCCAGACGACAATACAAGAATAGGTGCGGTAACCAATCAATGCTTCAATTCCTTAAAACTAGATTCTTGTTCAGAACCCCAATTGAATTTGACACTTTTTCAAAGTAATCGAGTCAATGGCAGAGATATTTTAGAGAAACCTTCAACGAATCATCTGTAATAACCAGCCAGACCCAAAAAACCACGAACTTCAGATACGTTCGTACAGTTTCAATTTTTTGATGGATCCACTTTGACACCTTCAGTAGAGATTACGTGTCTGAGAAAAGACACTTGATCGAGCCAAAATTCACATTTGAAAAGTTTTGCGTACAGTTTTTTTTTGTCCGAAGGATCTCCAAAACAATTTGAAGATGTTGATCATGTTGCTTTCTTGACTTCGAGTAAATCAAGATGTCATCAATAAACACGATAACAAATTCATCGAGATAATCTTTGAAAACCCGATTCATAAGATCCATAAAGACCGCTGGAGCATTAGTTAGCCCAAAAGGCATTACTAAGAATTCGTAGTGCCAATAGCGAGTTCTAAATGTTGTTTTCAAAATATCACAATCTCGGATACGAAGTTGATGGTACCCGGACCGAAGATCAATTTTGGAAAATTATTGTGCCCCTTGTAATTGATCGAATAGATCATCGATTCTTGGCAACGGATACTTGTTACGAATAGTTACTTTATTAAGTTCCCGATAATCGACACAAAGACGCATCGTACCGTCTTTCTTTTTAACGAAAAGAACTGGAGCTTCCCAGGGTGAAACACTAGGCCGAATGAAACCTTTATTCAATAGATCATCGAGTTGAGTTTTAAGCTCTTTCATTTCAGTTGGAGCCATTCGGTAGGGAGCCTTGGAAATAGGAGAAGCTCCTGGGACTAGATCGATAGTAAATTCGATTTCTCGTACCGGTGGTATACCCGGTAAATCGTCGGGGAACACATCAAGATATTCAGAAACAACAGGTATGGATGCAGAAGTAAGAAATACCTGTTCGGGATCTTGTAGAGCAGCAAGAAAACTTTCATTGCTTTGCCACGTATATTGTTTCACAGTAATAGAGACTACTGCACTAACATCTTCTTTTGGAGTACCTCCTTAGAAGATTGCCTCTGGGTTGTCTATATCCCCAAACAGAATTTGTTTGGCATTAAAGTCTATTGTTGCCCGATGGTGTGACAACCAGTCCATACCCAATATTAAATCGAAGTAGGACATATGCATTGGAAGCAGAGTGACCTCTCGTATGCAGTCCCCAATAGGCAACAGACAGTTGGAAAAACGAGTTAGCACACAAATTGAACCACCCATTGGAGTAGATATTACCACTGGAAATTTGGTGGTTTGCTTATACGGTTTTAATCGGGATTCTAGTTGTTCAAAAACAATTGAGTGTGTCGCACCAGTATCAAACAAAACATAAACAGATAAATCAATTAATTTAACATGACCCGAAATCATACCCGCTTGAGATTTGCTGCCAGGTAATGCAAAGACTCGTCCACTAGTACTTGGTTGTTTACCTTTCCTTTGTCAGTTTGGATCCGAGCTTTGGGACAATCTTTTGCCATATGACCTTGTTCTCGACAATTGAAACAGGAACCGGTCATCCTTAAGCATGGACCCGGTTGATGTCGAAGATTGCATCGATCATAATTAATAATTGGGCTAAAAACATTTTGACTCCCACTGCTAGAAAACACTGGAAGTCGTGGCATGGATAGATTCGAGTCTTTTTGAGTATCGTTGCTCGACTTTGATTTTACAAAACGAGGGTTGCTTCGGAAAGATTCAGATTCGCGTTTCTTATTGTCAACGCGTAATGTTAACCATTGTTGTCGTGACCGATCAATATTCTTGGCTGCGTCAACCACTTTAGTAATGGTATTGAATGAATGATTCAAGAAACGATCTTTATACCTCGAGTTCAAAGTTCATTTCATGGGAATTGAGAAGGACTGAGGTTTATGTTTGTTAAACCTTTCAAGCCATATATATATTTCTTCCGTTGGTTACCCGAACTGATATAGGAATTCCAGTATTTGGTGTAGGAACAAGATTTGGGTTCGAAAGAAAATTATGTGCTATTTGTCGCATAGCCTAAATAGCCTACTGAAGATATGTAGGCATCATACTTAACATGGTCTGACGGACCACATCAGCAATATTTGGTTCACTTCTACCCCCGATTCGATTGGGTTAGGATTTCGGTTACCCTCAGGTTGAGATTTGGATTTGCGTGGGCGACCACGTCTCGACATTCTAAAATAAAACAACATGAAAATCAGAATTCAAAACAGTTATGGATTAGAAAAACGGTAGATAGAATTAGAATCTAGTATACCCGTTCTTATGTCTACCCATTTCTCACAGGTCAAGCTTACTTTATCTACAAGTCAAAACCTATGCTCTAATAAACTCCAAACGTAGATTAACTTCTAAAACGTGCTTTACAATCCAAAATATTACATTCTATCAACTATTTATAAGTTTAGAATATTATACATCTACCAACGAGTTTACCAACTCCAAAAAAAAATCAAACGCTCGATCTCAAGTCCCGTCCCTTATCAGAATCACTTGGAACCTGCCGTGTCAGAAAACAAGAACACGGCTGAGCACGGGGCTCAGTGAACAGATTGTAATATAAACT